TGCGTGGCCCCAGGAAGCTCAAGCTGAAGAAGACAGAGGTAAGAACGAGGCCGGGAGGGCTTATCCTCAACCAATATAAGTTTCCGAGGCAAGGACAAGGCCGGGAGGGCCCATCCTCAACCAACATGGGGTTCCGAGGTGTGGAAGTTCAAGCGGAAGAAGACACAGGTAGGGACAAGGCCGGGGGGGGGCTCATCCTCAACCAGTATGGGTTTCCGAGGCGTGGAAGCTCAAGCTGAAGAAGGGCAAGGACAAGGCCGGGAGGGTGTATCATCAACCAAGATGGGTTTCCAAGACGTGGGGTCTCAAGCTGCAGAAGCGCAACGACAAGGCCGGGAGGGTTTATCCTCAACTAGTACGGGTTTCCGAGGCGTGGAAGCTCACAAGTCGAAGAAGACAGAGGCAAGGATAAGGCCGGGAGGGGTTATACTCAACCGATGTGGGTTTCCGAAGACAGAGGCAGAGACAAGGCGGGAAGGCTTATCCTCAACCGGTATGGGGTTCCGAGGTGTGGAAGCTCAAGCCGAAGAAGACAGAGGCAAGGACAATCCGAGGTATGGAAGCTTGAGCCTCAACCAATGTGGTTGCCGAGGTGTGTGGTCTCAGCGACAAGGCCGAGAGAACAATCCTCAACTAAAATGGGGTGTGGGGTCTTCCCCCCGCCCCCCCTCCCCCTGAGCGCCCTCCCCCCTCCTCCTGGGGCGGGAGGGTAGTGGGCAGACACCAAAAAACAATCCTCAACTAAAATGGGGTGTGGGTGCCCGCACCCCTCCCCACCCTCCCCCCCCCCCTCCCCCCCACCCGGTGCCCCCTCCGGAGGGTCCCCCCGCCCCCTCCCCCCCTTCCCTCCCTCCCCTTCCCTCCCCCGAACCCCGCACTGCAACCCCACCCTCCTCCCCTCCCAACCCGCTCACTTAGACCGCAACCAGCGTGGAGTGCCAGGTGCGTATCCTCAAGAAGAAGAAGGCCGGGAGCGGGAACGAAGCCGTGCAGGCTCGCCTGCATGGTGTCCCAGGTACGTGGTCCCAACCCCAAGAGACCGAAGTGAGGATGAGCGCTGATTATCCTCAACCAATGTGGGGTTCCAGGTGCGTGGTCTCAGTCGAAGAAGGCGGAGGCAGGGACGAGGCCGGAGCACTCATCCTCAACCAATACGGGGTCCCAGGTGCGTGGTCTCAGCCCGAAGAAGGCGACGAGGCCGGAGCGCTTATCCTCAACCAATATGTTCCAGGCGCGTGCTCGGAGGCGGGAGCGCTTATCCTCAACCAATATGGGGTCCCAGGTGCGTGCTATCGCGGACCAGGCCGGCGCAATATGGGGTTCCAGGCGCGTGGTCTCAGCCCGAAGAAGGCGGAGGCGGGGACGAGGCCGGAGCTGGGGTCCCAGGTGCGTGCTCGGCAGGGACGAGGCCGGAGCGCTTATCCTCAACCAATATGGGGTCCCAGGTGCGAAAGCGGAGGCGGGGACGAGGCCGGAGCGCTTATCCTCGACCAACGTGGAGTCCCAGGTACGCGATCTCGGCCCGAAGAAGGTGAAGGTGGGGACGAGGGCGGAGCACTTATCCTCAACCGATATGGGGTCCTAGGTGCGCGCCCTACCGCAGCGTGCATCAGTGCCAGGTGCTTGAAGCCAGAAGAAGGCGAGCTTCAAGAGGAGGCGACAACAGGCTCGAAGGACTTACTCTCAGAATACGTTCTCGGCGCGTGGTCTCAACCTGAAGAAGACGGAGGCGGCGACAAGGCCGGATCGCCTATCCTCAACTGTCATGGGTTCCCAGGTTCGTGGTCTGGAGAGAACAGAAGCCGAGACCAGGCCGGAGTGCCTATCCTCAAGCAATATGGGGTCCCAGGTGCGCGGTCTCAACTTGAAGAGGATGGAGGCGGGAACCAGGCCGGAGCACTTGTCCTCAACCAATATCGGGTCCGAGGTGCGTGGTCTCAACTCGAACAGGACGGAGGCGAGGAGAGGCCGGAGTACCTATGCAAGGACAAGGCTGGGAGGGCCCATCCTCAACCAACATGGGGTTCCGAGGTGCGGAAGTTCAAGCTGAAGAAGACACAGGTAGGGACACGGCCGGGGGGGGGGCTCATCCTCAACCAGTATGGGTTTCCGAGGCGTGAAAGCTCAAGCTGAAGAAGACAGGGGCAGGGACAAGGCCGGGAGGGCTCATCCTCAACCAATATGGGGTTCCGAGGGGTGGAAGTTCAAGCTGAAGAAGACAGAGGCAGGGACAAGGCCGGGGGTGAGCCATCCTCAACCAATATGGGTTTCCGAGGCGTGGAAGCTCAAGCTGAAGAAGGGCAAGGACAAGGCCGGGAGGGTTTATCATCAACCAATATGGGTTTCCAAGACGTGGCGTCTCAAGCTGCAGAAGCGCAACGACAAGGCCGGGAGGGTTTATCCTCAACCAGTATGGGTTTCCGAGGTGTGGAAGCTCACAAGTCGAAGAAGACAGAGGCAAGGCCGGGAGGGCTTATCCTCAAACCAATGGGTTTCCGAGGCGTGGAAGCTCAAGCTGAAGAAGAATATCCTCAACCAATATGGGTTTCCGAGGCGTGGAAGCTCAAGCTGAAGGAGACGGAGGCAAGGACAAGGCCGGGAGAGCTTCTCCTCAACCAATATGGGTTTCCGAGGCGTAGAAGCTCAAGCTGAAGAAGACAGAGGCAAGGACAAGGCCGGGAGGACTTATCCTCAACCAATATGGGTTTCCGAGGCGTGGAAGCTCAAGCTGAAGAAGGGCAAGAACAAGGCCGGGAGGGTTTATCCCCAACCAATATGGGTTTCCCTCAAGCGGCAGAAGGGCAACGACAAGGCCGGGAGAGTGTATCCTCAACCAATATGGGTTTCCGAGGCGTAGAAGGCTCAAGCTGAAGAAAAGAAGAATATCCTCAACCAATATGGGTTTCCGAGGCGTGGAAACTCAAGCTGAAGGAGACGGAGGCAAGGACAAGGCCGGGAGAGCTTCTCCTCAACCAATATGGGTTTCCGAGGCGTAGAAGCTCAAGCTGAAGAAGACAGAGGCAAGGACAAGGCCGGGAGGACTTATCCTCAACCAATATGGGTTTCCGAGGCGTGGAAGCTCAAGCTGAAGAAGGGCAAGAACAAGGCCGGGAGGGTTTATCCACAACCAATATGGGTTTCCCTCAAGCTGCAGAAGGGCAACGACAAGGCCGGGAGAGTGTATCCTCAACCAATATGGGTTTCCGAGGCATGAAGGCTCAAGCTGAAGAAGACAGAGGCAAGGACAAGGCCGGGAGAGTGTATCCTCAACCAATATGGGTTTCCGAGGTGTGGAAGCTCAAGCCGAAGAAGACAGAGGCAAGGACCAGACCGGGAGGGCTTACCCTCAACCAATATGGGTTTCCGAGGCGTGAAGCTCAAGCGGAAGAAGACAGAGGCAAGGACAAGACCGGGAGGGCTTACCCTCAACCAATATGGGTTTCCGAGGCGTGAAGCTCAAGCGGAAGAAGACAGAGGCACGGAGAAGAAGACAGAGGCAAGGACACGACCGGGAGGGCTTATCCTCAACCAATATGGGTTTCCGAGGCGTGGACGCTCGAGCGGAAGAAGACAGAGGCAAGGAGGAGGCCGGGAGGGCTTATCCTCAACCAATATGGGTTTCCGAGGCGTGGACGCTTAAGCGGAGGAAGACAGAGGCAAGGACACGACCGGGAGGGCTTATCCTCAACCAATATGGGTTTCCGAGGCGTGGACGCTCAAGCGGAAGAAGACAGAGGCAAGGAGGAGGCCGGGAGGGCTTATCCTCAACCAATATGGGTTTCCGAGGCGTGGACGCTTAAGCGGAGGAAGACAGAGGCAAGGAGGAGGCCGGGAGGGCTTATCCTCAGCCAATATGGGGTTCCGAGGCGTGGACGCTCAAGCGGAAGAAGACGGGGGCAAGGACCAGGCCGGGAGGGCTTATCCTCAACCAATATGGGTTTCCGAGGCGTGGAAGCTCAAGCGGAAAAAGACGGGGGCAAGGACGAGGCCGGGAGGGCTTATCCTCAACCAATATGGGTTTCCGAGGCGTGGAAGCTCAAGCGGAAGAAGACGGAGGCAAGGACGAGGCCGGGAGGGCTTATCCTCAACCAATATGGGTTTCCGGGGTGTGGAAGCTCAAGCCGAAGAAGACGGTGTGGAAGCTCAAGCTAAACAAGACAGAGGCAAGGACACGGCCGGGAGGGCTTATCCTCAATACGGAGTCCCATTCAGGCGAACACTGAAGGAGACGGAGTCGCCGAAGGCGAGCCATGGAGTATCCGCGCTCGCAAGCGGGACAAGTGCAAAAGGATATCAGAGAAAGAGACCATCACTGAGCATGTAGTGCAGCCAGACGCATGCAGTAGTACCTGCTCCCAGCAGCTTATGAACGCAGCTCTTGTTCATTGAGCAATTCCTAGCCAGCGGTCCCCCTCGGAGAAGCTATGGCGACAGGGACAATCTGTTTCGAGAGATCGGAAGGTATACTGCGGTGCTGCGCCCGCACCTGAGGATGTGTCGCGGGAAACTACTTCTCATTTACTCGGCTTTGTTTTTACGCCAGGAGTGCAAGGAATATGCCCGATACTTGGGCATCGACCCCGGATACGAGGGAGAAGAGACACACAACGCGATGTTGTGCCCGAGCCTCGGACGCTCTACGAGGGAGGAGTCCTGATATGCCGTTTACCTTTATCGAGGCCCTCCCTGTGCACGCCGACTCGGGTTGTGTCCGTCGGGGCCTTAAGAAGCGCTCGTGATGTCTCTGCTGAACACGATGGCGCTGCAGGCCCCGCCGCCGTGACAGAGCCGGGAAACCGGAGCGCGAAGCTCCGAGCCCGTTGGACAGCATCAAGAGCCAACTGGGCGTCAGGGGCCGAGCAACGCACACCAAGCCAGCATCTGCCGACGGTGGTTGACGCTAGGTGCGCTAGGCCTGTGCCACCGTCGAAGAGAAAAGAAATCTTCTCAGGAAGAATGGGTGGGCAGGCCAGCAAGCAAGAGCGAGAGAACAGAACCTGCACACTGACGTGCAACCAGGATACAGTTGGCAAAGGGTGCCGCACGGCGCGTGGATACCCTGGTGGTATCTTTCGGACAGCATTTGTTTCTGGGAAGAGGATGTCTTCCAGGCCGGACCAGCACAACGACGAAGAACATGCGGGCACGTCCCTGCCACAGCACAGCCCAGGAGGCCACGGCAGCCGTCTGAGCGCCAGGTCCGGCGATAAGAACCTCTTCCCTTGAGAGTCCAAAAGGTGCACGGGAAGCACTCGCATCACGCGCATGCACTCTTGGGGTATGCCCGATGACTACGAGCGACTCCTATCCGACGCAGCTGTTATTCAGCATTCAGTAGACACATACGGGGAGATAGAGCATGGTCTCAACCCGAGGAAGGCAGGGGCGGGGTCGAGGCCAGGGCGTTTATCCTCAACCAATATGGGGTTCCAGGCACGTGGGCTCAACCCGAGATGAAGACGGAGGCGGGGACTAGGCCGGAGCGCTTATCTTCAACCCACGTATACTCAACCAATATGGGGCTTCAGGTGCATGGTCTCAACCTGAGAAGAACACGGAGGCGGGGATCAGGCCAGAGATATCCTCAACCAATATGGGTTTCCGAAGTCTGGGATCTCAGGCCGGAGGCGGGGACGTATCCTCAACCAAGATGGGGTTTCAGGTGCATGGTTTTAAGCTGAGAAGACGGCAGAGGCGGGGACGAGGCCGGAGCGCTTGTCCTCAACCAATATGGGGTTTCAGGGAAAGCGAAGGCGGGGACAAGGCCGGAGCGCTTATCCTCAACCAAGATGGGGTCCCAACCCGAAGAAAGCAGAGGCGGGGACGAGGCCAGAGCGGTTACCCTCAACCAATATGGGGTTCCAGGTGTGATGTGACGTCTCGCAGCCCGAAGAAATTGGAGGCGAGGACGAGGCCGGAGCGCTTACCCTCAACCAATATGGGGTTCCAGGTGTGACGTCTCGCAGCCCGAAGAAACTGGAGGCGGGGACGAGGCCGGAGCGCTTACCCTCAACCAATATGGGGTGCCAAGTGTGACATCTCACAGCCCGAAGAAAGTGGAGGCGGGAACTACGGGGTCCCAATCCGGAGAAGGCGAAGGCGGGGAAGAGGCCGGAACGCTTATCCTCAACCGATCCAGCACGCTTGTCCTCAACGGCCCAGGTGTGTGGTCTCAACCTGAAGAAAGCGGAGGGGACGAGGCCGGAGGGCTTATCCTCAACCAATATGGGGTCCCAACCCGAAGAAGGCGAAGGCGGGGACGAGGCCGGAGCGCTTATCCTCAACAAAAAAAGGGTCCGAGGTGCGTGATCTCAGCCCGAAGAAGACGGCGGCGGGGAGACCGCAGCACGTCTCCTCAACCAACATGGGGTCCCAGGTGTGAAGTCTCATCCCGGAGAAGGAGGAGGCGGGGACGAGGCCAAAGCGATTATCCTCAACAAATCTGGGGTCCGAGGTGCGTGATCTCAGCCCGAAGAAGACGGAGGCGGGGAGACAGCCCAAAGTCCTGGCCAACGCCAAAGCAACGCCAGCAGGCAGCAACAGCAGCAACAAGCGCAAAGCAGATGAGCCACCGCCATCGACTCCAGCAGCGAAGTCCACAAGACAGGGAAGCCCAGAACAAGAACTAGAAGGGCAGAACCTGGAGGAGTTCCCGTGTTACTTCGAGAAGCAGGTGGAGCTCAGGTGCGGCATCCATGCATTGAACAATGCTTTGGGCGCACGTCATTTCACGGCAATCGACCTCGAGCAGGCCGCAGCGGCTTTCCTCGAGGAGAACTGGGAACTTGGCGACGATCTGGGCCTCCACATGAGTCCTGGAGGCGACTACTCCATCGAGATCCTTTTCATGGCTGTGCGGAGCAAATCCATGCAAATGTTCAATCGTCTCTGCTGGCAAGTATCTGACCAGAGAGCTTTGGTCAAAGAGGATTTGGATGAATGCTTCGGAGCCATCCAGAACCTCAACGGTCGGCACTGGGTAGCGCTGAAGCGTTGGAGCAGCAATCATTTCGTCCTGCTTGACTCCCTGCAGGAGCGACCCGCGCTACTCTCTCACGCTGAGTTAGAAGACTCTCTGCAGCAGCACCCGACCTATTCCATTCGCCACATATGAAACTTCGAGTTCCCAGGTGCGCGGAGCACAGCAGCTGCTCCCGCGCGCGGATGTTTCACCAACGACAACTGCTTCGACTTGCGGAACCAGCACAGGCAAGTGGCGCAGAAAAGCAGAGTGCGCAAGACCAATACAGTGCATGACTCGGATTCTGAAACGCCTCGCTGAAGAGTCCATGATATGGAGAAGATCGCCAGAATTTGTGTCCACTGGCTCAAGTCCCTGCATGGTCTTTGCACTTCTCACAGTCTCTATGATATGTATGTAGATGCAAAGTCGCAACATTTCTCCGACAACTTTACGAAGGAACAAACAAGGGCAGTTCAGTTCATGCAGCCCCGTAGGCAAATCCGCCATGGTAACCTGCGAGCCGCATGACGCAGGCAAGCTGAACCAAATCCCGCCACCCTCTTTGCCTTCAGATTTTAGACCCAACCGTCTCAGCCCCTACGCCCCAGGGCCCAGCCCAGCAGCCCAGCAGCCCACAACCCCGCAACAGCAGCACCCAGCCCAGCCCAGAGCCCCCTTCCCCAGTCCCAGCCCGGTCAATCAAGGGCTCAGCCAGCCAATAATGCCCAAGCCCACTCGGGACCTGAACCCCCGCCACCCTCCTTGCCTTCAGATTTTAGACCCAC